CAGGATCGCGCTGTGTCCCGACACGGGTGCTCCATTCCCGCCGCCATTTTCCCTCCCTCCCCTGACACATCTTTAAAATTCAGGTTATTGTAAGTAAGTGAGGGAAAAATTGTTGAACTACTCTTAGTAATTCTAGAGGAAACATGGATATCAAAAGAGGTATTATAAAAAAAAAAAGAGGCCACAGATATATGCGCTGTTTTTCAAAAAAAAGATGAAATTATATTTCATTAGCTGTGGTTTACTGAGTTTGAAAATAGTCCTGGGTAGGATTTTTGAAGAAGATAGACACAGTTTGTGAGCTCTGTTAAAATGAAAGTTCTGAGAAGTGACATCTAGCTTGAGTTTACTGGGAGAAAATGATTCCAGAAAACCTCATGTCTGTTTTGGCAGGATTACTGAATTTGAGTGATTAAAGAAAACAATAGATGTGGTGTGTCTGGATTACATTAAAGCCTGTAGAAATAAAAGTCTTTCTTTATCCTTAAAGGAAGAAGGTGACACAGATTGCTGTTAGGTGGCATTATATTTTTTTATGAAATTCAATATACCATCCTACATGTTAATATTCAAAGGTAGCTGCAATAGCAAGTATATTGACCATGTCCCAGTACCATTTTTTACAGTGACTTGGAAGAGTCATATTGGAAATAATGACTGTCATTTAACAAAGATAGTACTCTGCCTAAAAGAGCATGAAAAATATCAAAATATAGCTGAAGCAAAGATTAAATTTTGGCTAAGTATGAAGTGGTTGTTTTTTTACCATCGAGGACTCCAAACATTAAATCTCCGGCTTCTGGGGATGATATGTTTTCTACCTTTTGAAATCACAGGTGTTGTATAGGGGATTCGTATTGAACATAATGCTTTGGTTGGATTAATTCTGAAGTCCCTTTTAAATCTGAATTTAAAACTCTATATCAGAGTGTGTGAAAATGGAAAATGCTTGATTTTTCAGACATCAGTAGCCAGCAGGTAGATAATCCAGGGGAGACAAATACATTCACCATCAGGACAGTAAATCTGGATTAATCCACCTTATTATATGGAAAAAATGCATTTTAAAACCAATCTTTCTATTTCTCCTCTTCTTTTTTAAAAATGATGAAACCAGCAATGTATTCATGGTGGAATTAACTTGTCTCTTTCATAGACTTTTCTGTTCTCCCACAGACCCTATATCTCCAAGGATGTATTCATTGTCTCTTTTTTTCTCATCTTTGAGATGATCTCATAAACCTTGTCTTTGTAGCCAGAGCTTCCTGTCTCTTCTCACAATTTTGTCACCTCGTTCCCAAATCTTTTACGATAATTCTGAGAGTGATATTTCAAGGAGTCAGTTCCTCATAAGCTTCTCTTAAAGATGTTCCAATGATCTCTTCCTGGAAGATATTACTGTGAAAGGAGAGAACAATATTAGCATTTTATAAGAATAAAAGGAGAGAGTGAAATGCTTTGCCATATTACATGTTATACAAATGTGAATTACTAATGTCCTCTTTTTTCCTATCTTTTCAGTACGTTTTTTAAAAATTGTCTTTTTTACTTCAAAATGCTCTTTGTTTTGATCTGAGTAATTTCTTTCAATTGTCTTTGACAATAAGCATATAAAATTTTAAGATTGCTCTATGTTTTACTCTGCTTTTCTTTCAGGCCTTTGAAACACTCAATTGTTACTTATGGTATTGATCTAACCATAATGTTACTTTGCTAGAAAAATATGTATGAGTTATCTTCCAAATTGAACATGAAGTTTTATGGGCTGACAACAATTTGCATCAACAGGATAATGAGCTCTCTCTGTCTCTCTTTTTCTCCATAAAAGTAAACTCAGAAATGTGTTTAATAAATCATCCTCAATGTCTAGGGAACACTTAATTGCTTACCTATGTTCCACTTTTCTCTGTCATTTATTAGCATTCCCTAGTTCTTTCTCTGTCCTATTCCTATTGACATTTTAACGATTGTCAAAAGCTGTGATTATATTGATAAGATTTACCACCAGGAAGCCCTTCACTTTGCTCCTTGATTAATATGTTTTTGCCCCATACATTCCATTCTTGAGAAGTTGCATCTACTTTTCTTGTTTTCTCCTGGTTCTTTGGGAGACCTTATGTTGCGATTCACCAGTGGCTTATTGGCTTGATAAAATACTGCCAGCTCAATGACACAATGTCTACTTCTCAGCGTAACCAGCAACTCTGGGAACCCTATTCAAGTATCCGGCCAAATTGAAGTGAAAGTTGTTCTTAATATTAGATTTAAGTTCCTCCTGAAACATCTCACTTTGCTTTAAGAAGTTTTTTATTTAATTAACAATGCTGCATGCTTCTCGTATTAGAAACATATTAGATGGTAACAGCTCAGCTCTTTTTTCCTCACTGTTTTGTATATGTCAAAAGCACATTAAAACAGTAATATCTTAAGGTGATAATGTGGGTTCAGGTTTAATATCAAAAGGGTTGCTTTGACATGTTGCCCTAGCGTGACTGTAATTCTTGGCGTGGTGACTGACCCAGTATTTAATTGCCTCCTGATCATGTAGCTGAATATGGACATCGACAAGCTCCCTTGTTTTTCCTGAAGTCCTCTTTTTGCTTTCAACACCAAAGGACTAGTCATGTGACCCTTGAGAATGAAGTAGATTCTGATCCTTCTTCTAGCGACTCTTTCGAACCAGTGTCTCCAGAATTCCATGGGAAAGAAGCCATCAGGTAACAAGTAAATTACATGAAGGCACAAACAGAGAACCGGTCAGAGACCAAAGATCTATCAGGCAAAACACCGATGCACAACCAGCATGCTGCACTCAGGAAAGGCCATGCTCACTCTTATAGCACTTTGTTTTCTCACCTTCTCAGCACTTACATTCAGTAATAAATATCTCATGGTGCAGCAACAACTACCAACAAATAAATGGTCTTCATATTTCCATTTTTCTCTTTATCTCTCTTGTATCTCCTCTTCATGGTTTTCTCTCCCTTCCTCAAATTTTGACCATTGTTCAGTGTTGTGTTCATCTCACTCCTCAATAAAACCTTTCTGGTCTACTTCTTCCACTAATGTATTTTAACTCTGAACATTTATGATACTTACAGTCTCTAAATACTTAGGTTCTTAAAACAGAGATTCAGTATGAACAGATAACAAAGAGTAGTGTTCTCCCATTCCTCATGAGTCAGTGCTATGTTCTTAAGAATGGTGATCTCCCTCCAAGCTGAAACACTAAATTTTAAGTCCTTTTCAATGCCTGGGTCAGAATTAGGTTGCATCAGAGCAGTTGTAGAATGCCTTGAATGCTAAAAGAAGGCATTGTTATTTATCCATTGGGCAAGTAGGAGGGAATTAAAGGTTCTATGGATTGAATTGCATCCCCTTAAAATCCATGCATTGAAACCCTAACTCCTGAAGTGGTGGTCTTTGGAGATGGGGACTTTGGGAAATAATTAGTGTTTGGTGAGACCATGAGAGTGGTACCTTCATGATGGGATTAGTGAATTTATAAAAAGAGACACAAGAGAGCTTGCATTCTTTCTCTGCCATGTGAAGAAACAGCAAGGTAGCTATCTACAATTAAGGAAGGGAACCCTTGCCAGGAGCCAAATTAGCCAGCACCATGATCTTGGACTTCCCAGACTCCAGAACTGTGAGAAATAAATGTCTACCCTGTAAGCCACCCAGCCTATGGTACTTTGTTTTAGCAGCCTGAACTAACTAATACAACTTACCCACTGGTGTGTTGTGATAACGTAAGAAAATAGTGCAGACAAAAATGTATAGGCCCTGGCTTATAGTAGACCTTCAAAGCATTTAAAATCTACCCCTATACACTCTTTTAAAAATCTGTCTTTGTTTTAAATCTTTTTCCTTCTCTTCTTCCTCCTCTGTCATCTTCTTTGGAGGTTTACCATATTCCAAGAATTTTGTGTTCCACATATTTTATCTTATTTACTTTACAAATCAACCCAATATAATTGTTAAGTTTTTTTTTATTTGAAATGTGTTGATTGTATATATTTGTGGGGTACAAAGTTGAATATTAATACATGTGTGCAATGTGTGATGATCAAATCAGGGTAATTAGCATATTCATCATTACAAAACTTAACCAGTTCCTTGTGATGAGGACATTCGATCTCCTCTCCTCTAGCCATTAGATAATATGCAGTAAATTATTATTAATTCTAGATGCCTAGCTCAACTGTACACCTGTAGAACAGATTAGTCATCCCTATTTGCTGAAGAACTGAACTCAATGAGTTTTGAGCACATATATTTGTAACAGTGCTAGTGAGTGGCACAACTGGGACTTTGCCCAGAATGGTTGGATTCCAAAGCCCTAATCTTTCTGTGACCATGTGCTGCTTCTCTTCTTTTCTCCACCATAATGTCTCCTAACCACTGATTTTATCTCTAGCTTTCCAATTATGCTGTCATTTGTCAATGCCTATAGCAATATATCTCCATGTACTAGCTGCCCCCTGCACACTGTAGCCTGTTCAGGTTATGAAGACCAGGCACGCTGCTCCTAACGAGATGCCCGGGGTGCTTCTGCCAGTGCCTGTGTGCAAGGGAAAGAACCTCCTGATTTTCTTGCATCCTCAAAGATTGATTTATTAATTCTCTGTTGCCACAATTCCCTCAAAATGTTTCCCTTTTTTTTCAGAATCAGAAATCTTAAAAAAGAATATACAGGAAAGCATGAAAAAGTAGAAGCCTTGAAAGGTAATAAAATAACATATTTATCATGGCTGCTTGATTTAGTGACTGTGCCTCACTTTTGTAACATCTTGGTAAGGATTAAGAACAGATATTCCAGATATCATGATTCTGCTTTATTTGAACATACTATGTTTCCTTGTAAGTAAATGGAAAACTATATAATAATTTTAAAAAGTAGGGTGTACCATTTAGAATCTTATGAGTTTGAAAGATACATGATAGCATCATGACATTTTCTTTATTTTCAACTCAGCATATGCTCTAGTCCTAAAGCTGTCTTTATTATAGCCAGCCTCTCCTTTGTGATAAAAGTGCTTTTGTTCCAAAAATTGTTAATCATATAATGACTTATCACTTATTCATGCTGCAGTAAATTATAAAAATTTCAGAGAATGTACAGTTAATATTTGGATGCTGAGTATAATTTTTTTTTTATATCATGCCAGGTCTTGTATTTGACATATATGAAGGCCAGATCACTTCCCTCCTTGGTCACAGTGGAGCTGGAAAAACCACCTTATTAAACATACTTAGTGGGCTATTGGTTCCAACATCAGGTGAGAGGACAATTATCCAAGGACAAGTACATGTGCAAATGAATTAACTGCATATTTCATTAGTTAATTAGTTATCTTCAATAGTTTCATTAACTACTTGCTACACCCAGGTATTTAAGAGAAAAATTTGTAAGTTTCTTTAAGGTATTCTTTTATAGTATTGTGCTATATTTATTTAGAAAAATGTGTTTTAAATATTTCATAAGTAACTTTATGATTATTCAGTTACTAATTGGCATTCTGGCTGGATCAGGTGTTATTAACACTACATTTTTAGTCAGTTGATTATCTATTCCTTAAAGGTAAAATATGTTGATATGAATCTGGTAATTGACATACATTGTTTTCCATTTTAAAACATCTTAAATGAAACATGGCACATAGTCCTGATGGTAACTCTCTACCTTCCACTTATAGGTTCTGTCACGACCTATAATCACACACTTTCAGAAACGTCTGATTTGGAAACTGTCCGCAAGTTCACTGGAGTTTGTCCACAATCCAATGTGCAATTTGGCTTTCTCACTGTGAGAGAAAATCTCAGGCTGTTTGCTAAAATAAAAGGGATTCTGCCAGAAGAAGTGGAGCAAGAGGTATATGAACACGTTAGATGTTACACAGCCATGAAAATAAAATTGTTGATCTAGAAAATTCTAAATGTATTTGTGTTAGTTTATATCTACACAATTCATCACCTAAAGGCTGGTCCAAAAGGCCCTTTGTAAACAGGAAAATTACAATATTTTAAAAATAAACGTTCTGGGTTTTGGACTAAATATTCTGTATTTGGTTAGGTACAAAGTGTTTTACGGAACTTAGAGATGGAAGATATTCAAGACAATCTTGCTGAAAATCTAAGTGGTGGACAAAAAAGGAAATTAACTTTTGGGATTGCCATTTTAGGAGATCCTCAGGTAAGTCGAACTAAAATCACTGGTGAAATCAGATGGAAGACTGTGAAACTAATTTATTAGGTTAAACTTAATTTGCAAATGAAAAATGCAAGAGAAATTTTACAATAAAATATTAGACAGCAAGATATTTCTCCCAAATTCTTTTACAGATATAGTGCTTTTTCATAGAGTCTTGCCTGAAAGGGAAAAATTAGGTTTTGTGTTTTTCTCCTGTCCAGGTTTTGTTATTGGATGAACCAACTGCTGGATTGGATCCTCTTTCGAGACACCGAATATGGAATCTCCTGAAAGAAAGGAAATCAGACAGAGTAATTCTCTTCAGTACCCAGTTCATGGATGAGGCTGACATTCTGGCTGGTAATTTTTGGTTTTCTTTCGTGTATCTTATCAAGAAGTTAGGAACATATATGGGATATACATAGATATCTTCTATAGCACATCTTAGTGGCAACTGCCGCGGGCCAAGATAGGAGAATTTTTTTCACTCTTCCGCTGTCTGTATTCCAGAATACTTTGTCAGAATGGAAGTATTATGATCCCATTGCAGAGCAGCCAATGGGCTGTAAAATACAGAACATGCTCTCAGAGATATGTTTTATTCAGTACAGATGTGAGTTGACTTGAAACAGATTCTTTAGATACATGATCATCTCTTTCTAAACATACTGGAGAATAAACTAACAAAATATACCATTGTACAATGTTGTTGGCTGACAAAGAAAGTGGTTTACATATGACCAAAATTAGAATCTATTTTTTTTAGTATGTCATGCTCCTGAAGAACATGATTTGTTAATGGATTCTCTCTTTCATAAATAGTGAAGAAATAAGCCCTTAGTACTATTTATCTTTTGGTTCTTTTTCCATAGATAGAAAGGTGTTCATATCCAATGGGAGGCTGAAGTGTGCTGGCTCTTCTCTATTCCTGAAGAAGAAATGGGGCATTGGCTACCATTTAAGGTATAGCCCTTCTTGTTGGAGACATGCTGGCATGTGCTGAAAATCCTGGGACAGGTGATATCAGCTTCAATTTCACAGTCAGCTGTACAACTACTGAGTTCATTTCAAGAGAGCTGTGTGAGAACTAAGTCACAACTGCTTTCTTCTTTAGCTAGAATGTAGGATATTTGAGATTACATGCATTGAAAATATAAGTATGATAAATCCAGGTTTAAATAAAAGTGTTGGAAAATATTTTCTTAATATTCAGTTTGCTAAGAGGAATTTATTGATATTCCAACCCTTCCTCTTCTTATATTTCAGATATTTATTTTTGTTCATCTTGACAGTTTTAATACCCTCCTCTGTATACTCTTTGTATTTTTTCCGCCATTCCTTTCTGTCTCCTTCTCTTCCTGAAAATAATTATTATCATTATTAAGTAATGCCTATCATTTATTAAGGGTTGGCTATGTTGTAGGGACTTGCTAAGATAGTTAAATATAGAATACTCATATTATGGTATTTAATCCGCCAAATAACTCTAAGATGCTATTATTCTCTTTTGACAGGTGAGAATCCCACATGTCAGAGAGTTTTCATAATTTGCCAATCTCACATTGTTTATAAGTGGCAGAATCTTTGAATCAAGATTACAGGTGTGATGTAAATCACTTCTCATACTCCATGTTTAACATAGTATTGGAGATACTAGCCAGAGCAATCAGGCAAGAAAGAGATAAAGGGCATCCACATCAGAAAGGACAAAGTCAAACTGTCCCTGTTTGCAGATGACATGATCCTATAGATAGAAAAAAACCCAAACACTCTACCAAAAAACTCTTAGAGCTGATTCACAATTTCAGTAATGTTGCAGGATACAAAATCAACAAGCAAAAATCAGTAGCATTTTTGTATTCTAATAGGAAACTAGCAGAAAAACAAATCAACAAAGCAAGCCCATTTATAATGTCACCAATAAAATAAAATAAAATGCCTAGGAGTCAATTTAACCAAGGAGGTCATAGATCTCTATAACAAGAACTAAAAAACACTACTGAAAGAAATTAAAGAGGACACAAAAAGATGGAAAGACATCCCATGCTCTAGGATTGGAAGAATGAGCAGTGTGAAAATGTCCATACTGCCCAAAGCAATCTACAGATTCAATGCAATCTCCATCAAGATACCAATGACATTCTTCACAGAAATAGAAAAACCAATCCTAACATTCATATGGAATAACAAAAGACCACGAATAGCCAAAGCATTCCTGACCACTAAAATTTTAACATTTCTTTCAAAATAATTCAAACTACTTTATGTCCATTAGTTAAACGGATCCCCCATTATTTACTCCAGGTTCTTAACCTGATCAAATCTACCATTCTATCATTATTGCTCATTACAGTCTAATGGAATCAGTGCCCTCCAACTATAATGAGCCCACTCACCGTTCTCTAGGTATGTTCCAGAGTTTAGTTATCTTCTTTCTGCTTGAGGGAAGACGTCTGCCTAACATGCCCTCTTCCAATTAGACATTTAAACATATCCAAATCTTATCCATTCTTGAAGGTCTTCTCTGAATGTTTTCTCCTTAATGAGCATTCTCTTTTCTGGAACCTGAGAGCACTGTTTTGAATTGTTGCCTTAGGCAACTTCAATCAGTTTCTTTGATTCTCAGTAACTTCTTTTTTTAAAATAGTGGTAGTAATACCTACTCTGCAGTTAAGGCTAAGAAATACTGAATGAGTACTTGACAAGGTGCAAAGTTCTTAAGTGAGTTAACTCAATTTCCTTCTCATTTATTCTACACTATGCTGCTTATATTATCATTATGCTATAAGCTCCTTTAGGAAAGGTACTATATTTTTCCTTTTTGGTATCCTTCATAGTGCTTAGCACAAGGCCTTAAAAACGCAGAATAGTTTTTTTGTCTGTTTTTAATTGATTTTTTTAGGTTTGTGTTATCAGTCAATTGCATGTTCTTATCAGTCTATAACCTCAGTACATTTCAATGGATGTGACTAATAATGGATTTTCTAAAATTCAATAATCTCATGAAAAACATTGTATGTTCTTTCACTCGAATAAATTTTGGATTAAAAAAAGGATAAAATTAGCTAATGTATACTGAGTGTCTACTTAGTGTAAGGCCCTGTGCTATATCATACATACTTTTTTATTGTCCTGAGATATAGTCTTTTGAGAATTGGGCATTATTTCATCTCACAGCTGAGAAAATTGATGCTCAGAGACGTTAAACAACTTGCCTGAGTTTTTGGATAGATAGAGACAAAATTGTGCATTCACCTCCCCCTGAACCCAGCAAAAATCTGACTGAATATGTCTTTTCTTCAAATAACAGTCCTTGAGTTACCTTATCTTACTCTAATCATCCTTTGCACTAATTTCTCTGTCATGTCATATAGATTAAACAGTTTGGACTATATTAGTATTTTTACAACTTGCTTCTTCCAGTAAATTTTATACTTCTGTCTCGTAAATATTAGTGAAGTGACAAGCACATACTGCACAGTTAGGAAATTGTTTTTAGAGATAATGTTGGATACAAATAACTTTAACTCCCTCTTTTTAAATGCTAGTTTACATCTGAATGAAATGTGTGATGCAGAGAGTATAACGTCACTGGTTAAACAGCACGTCCCTGATGCCAAATTAACAGCACAAAGTGAAGAAAAACTTGTATATATTTTGCCTTTGGAAAGGACAAACAAATTTCCAGGTAATGAAATATAGAGACCACAGAATGCTTTGGGAATGATGTTGCTAACAATAATAGCGGTGATAAGAACGGTGGCTAGTTTTAATGCTTGCTAAGTACATGGCATCTTGCATTAACTCATTTAATATTCTTACCCCCAAGGTCACGTCTGATATTATCTCCATGTCACTTATGAGTAAACCAAGGCACACAGATATTAAATATCCTTGAAGTCGCAACATGTGCAGTTAAGGGATGCAGAATAACATCAAGCTAAAATTAGTATTATTGGGGAAAGTTGTTTCAGGACAGGAAGAGGTCTGTGAACACAGGGGCAGAATATTGAAGGAGAGCTAAGGAAATCATACACAAGATGTAGATTATTTTATAAATACTGCAGCATAATGTTATAATTTAAATTTTTGGACATAATTAAAACCAACCTGCATGCTGCAAAACATTCTAAAATTCACAACTTTGCTGCAAATACAAAAACCTAGAAAGCCACTGCCTTTACCACTTTAGTATCCATCTCCCAATGTGCTGTTTCATTTGCCAAGAGTTTTGAGATAGATTTTTTTTTTCTTTTAAGTGTAGTCTATAAAATTGTGTTTGCCCTGTTGAGTTCAAGGGATCTGTCAACTGTTAATAAAGGATGCTGGGGCCATTGCTGCATGCTTTAATAAGGCTGCCATAACCACGGTCAATAAAGAAACATAGCACCAGCCAAAAAAGTGTGGTGGTTGAAAGTTCAAATGCTAGAGCCAGTTGACCTGGATTCAAATCCCGTCTGTGCCATTATTAGCTCTATGATCCTGAACAAGTTATATTACTTTTCTTTACCTCAGTTTCCTCACTTGTAAAAAAGGGACTGCATAGTATTTAGGGTTCTTATGAGGATTAAATGATTTAATATATATTAAATTTACTATTAAAATATTAAATATAAACAAAGCACCTGGAATAATACCTGGCATGTAGTACCAATGGTATTTCATCAGATCTAATATAAAATAACTGAGCAAAGACACCCTCAACTATCAAATGTACTAATAAGAAAGAAACAGAAAGAACTAAAGCTGCCATTTAAAACATAGTCTACCATCTTTTATGATCCATCATCATTTCAGATATGTTAAAAGGTGATGAAATGTATTCATCTTAGAATCAGTGAAATAATGATAGTTTTAGATGCATACATGATCTCTTTGAGACACGTATTATTTATAAAAACAGAAATCTTTATGAAGAGCACACAGCAGTGTTTTACTTGATTGCTTATTAAATGCATTCCAAAAGGATGGGCAATTTAGAGAAAGATGGAAAAAGAACCAACACTTAGGTGAATTTAGGAACTCATTAGAAATCATAAATGCATCTCTACTTTTCTTTATCTTGCACATAATTAAGATAAAAGCCTTTTATTTCTTGCAATATTTGAATTAGTTTATCCTCTATTCAATTTTCAGTTTTACTGAACTACTTAAGAATCATTCCAAACTTTTTTTTTTTCCCAATAATCTCTCAAAAGGGCCTGCTAATTCCTCACACGGACCTAACCTCTTTCAAGGCTCCTGTGTAATTTTCACCCCATGGTCAGAAGCTGATGTGCAGGGCCGGCCCGGTGGTGCGCTGGAGAGTGCGCCGCTTGGGAGTGCAGCGGCGCTCCCGCCGAGGGTTCGAATCCCATGTGGAGACCGGTTCCGCTCACTGGCTGAGCGCGGTGCGGGCGCAACACCGAGGGTTGTGATCCCATTGCCGGTCCCCGGTACGGGCGCTACACTGAGGGTTGCGATCCCGTTACCATTACCGGTCAGTAAAAAAGACAAAAAGGAAAAAAAAGAAGAAGCTGATGTGCAGTGTGTGTGAGAGAGAGACGGGGAGGAAGAAAGAGTGTGCGAAGTTGCATACCTACAGTACTTTGTCCTTTCCTTTAATTTATATATTTTTTATACTAGGAAAGATTCCGTGGCACTTATTTTTTTCTATAAACATTAGTTCTTTTGCATTTGTTATTATAGTTTTCTAATAATTAATCCTAACTTGAAAGTATACATCTTTATTCTCTGGAAAATATTATTTAATTAATCAGGGTTTAGAAATATAATAGAAAAGAAATGAATTTTTTAAAAAACATGTTAAATGAAATGTAATTTTCCAAAAAACACTTAAGTAGTTTTCTAAGAATGGAAAAATAAATGTTCAGATTAAACTTTGATACTCGAGAAGACATGGAAATTAACACACTGTATAGATCATTTTATTTTTTTTTTAGGTATTGTAGAACCTTTCTAGCACTTATGAGAGGTAAATTAACACCAATTGCTAAACATAGAAACTGGATAAATTTCAATATTCATTTAGAAATTAATTTTATGATGCTGTCCTAAGTATTAAAATACAGGTTATACTTAAATCATTCAAAGTTTGGCATGTTCACACATGTGCACAAAGTATTTGATAGATATTTACACACTGGGAGACACAATTATGGTCTGACTTTGGAGTTTTGGCAGATCTGGGTTCAAATTCTGGCAAGTTTCCCTACTAGCTTTTTTTGGGTGCGTGTGATCCGAACCCTCGGGCGGGAGCGCCGCCGCGCTTCCCAAGCGGCGCACTATCCAGTGCGCCACCGGGCCGGCCCAGTATAGATCATTTTAGAAATAAGGGTACATGTATATCACAGTTTTATTTCTGAGTGCATCTGAACTATCACCAATATTTTCTATTTTTAAAAAATGTGGTTAATACAAATCTCATTATATATTGTATTATTTTAATCTATTTTTATGCCTATTCTTAGACCTTTACAGGGATCTCGATAGATGTGCTAACCTAGGTATTGAGAATTATGGTGTTTCTATGACGTCTTTGAATGAGGTGTTCCTGAAACTAGAAGGAAAGTCAACTATTGATGAATCAGGTAAAAAAGAAAGAAAGAAAAGAAGAAACAAGGAAAAAGAAAGAAAGAAAGAGACCTGAGTTTTATTTTTCTGTGCAACATTTTATCTTGAAAATATGCTTTGAATGATGAAATTCTATGCTTTCATTGGTGCTATGATTTAGGATGTTCTTTGAAAAACAAAGCAGAGAAGAAACGCATCTCTGTGGAATACAGCAATGTACAACACTAAGTCCATATGGAGAAGACAATAAATATGTAGTATACTATCGTCTGAATATAAGTGCTATAAAAAAAAGAAAATTAGAATTTATATTGATAATTACTTCCCTTGTAGCACTCTGAAGATATTATTCTAATGTCTTCAGGATTCAATTGTTGCTGTTGAAAGATCTGCTGTCAATCTAATTGTCAATCCTTGGAAAGTATTTGGTCTTTACTCCCTAATTGCTTCTAAGATATTTACTTGTTTCTGGTTTATTATCACCTTACTGTGTTTACTCTTTACTGTGGCTGTGGTCTTTATTTCCATTTTTGTTATTTCCTGTTTTGTTTTGTTGATTGGTAAATTGTTTTTTTATCCCCCTTTCCCTTTTTTTATCAATTTTTTAAGTTATATATTTGATACATTATGGTGGTTATACTTAGCTTTTATACTTAACTATAAAATATGTACACGTTTTGTAGCTTTCTAGAAGTCTAGAGTTAATCATTTTCTCTAGGTTTCTCTTCAAACTAAGTAACCTTTATTAACTAATGGATATCAAAAATTGCCTCTATCATTTTTATGTTTTTAGAGGAGAAAGGAGAGGCTTCTTTATGTACTAACTCTCCCACCTTTGTCAGAAATACTAAGATTGTTTATCTCTTGCAATGAGTAGCTTTCTTTATGAGTTTTTTTCTTTGATTTCCCTAGAATGAATTAAGTCCTACAAAGCTGCAGAGTCCTTTGATTTCCCTAGAATGAATTAAGTCCTACAAGATTTTCTTTTATGATATGAATACTTTTTCCTTTCCCATTTTTTCTCTAGTTGCTCTAATAATGCCATGAATTAGACGACTTGCATCTTTTCCCAAGATGTTAACTCTGACACGTTTGGTTGAAAAAATGATCATAGGAAAAGTTAAATAATGCACAACTAAAATGGCACTTTATAAATTACTGGTTTTATGTTTTAGATATTGGAATTTGGGGTCAATTACAAAGTGATGGGGTGGAAGACACAGGAAGCCTTGTTGAGCTGGAACAAGTTTTGTCTTCCTCCAGTGAAACAAGGAAAACAATCAGTGGCATGGCACTCTGGAGGCAGCAGCTCTGTGCAATAGCAAAAGTTCGCTTCCTAAAGCTAAAGAATGAAAGAAAAAGCCTGTTCTCTATGTGAGTATCTGAGTGTTTCAGAGTCATTTGATCTGTGCATTGAAAATAAACTTGTGAGCAAAATATAAAATTTAAAAAAAAAAAACTCAGATAAAATAAATTCCAGCAAATGCATATGGTCTTTTAAACAAAGAAACCAGTCTTTAATAATTCATCTAGGTATATAATTAAGACAAATAAAATTTGGGATTCTTTTTTTTTTTTGTGACCAGTAAGGGGATCGCAACTCTTGGCGTGGTCTTGCCCACACCACGTGCAGCCAGCGAGCACACCGGCCATCCCCATATAGGATCCGAACCCGCGGCAGGAGCGCCGCTGCACTCCCAGCGCTGCACTCTCCCGAGTGCGCCACAGGGTCGGCCCAAGTTTGGGATTCTTTGAGGTTCACACAGATTTTGTTCTCAGCAATGGATTGAAGTAGTTCTTCACAAGCATGTGGATGTTAGCACTCAGGTCTCATCCCAAAGATTCCATACTCTCTTTCCTCAAGATACCAAAACTTGTATTTGTCAGGATTCTCCAGAGAAATGAAAGCAATAGGATGATATATATTTTAAGGAATTGGCTAGTGTAATTGTGGGGAATGGCAAGGCTAAAGTCCACAGGGCAGAACAGCAGGCTGGAAATTGAGGTTAGAGTTAATGGTGTAGGTGGCAGCCTGGAAACTTAGGCAGAATTTCTATGTTACAGTCTTGAGACTGAGCCAGTTGGTGCCTTGGCTTTACGACCATATCTGAAGCCCACTGTGAGGTTCACACACACCCGTGCACATTCATCCTCATCACTGAATACTACCTCCATGCATAAGCCCAGTTCTCCACTGAGAACATTCATTCATCCAAAAATATTTGTGAGCACCTGTTTGCAACTCTCTCTTATTAAATAATTGTAACATATATCAAAATAAATCAAGCATGACGATCTTTCCTTAACGGTGATTAGAAATACACTAACCATGTATAATTCAAAATAGAGGCATTGGAGAAAGAAATTAGGGAGAATTTGAATTTGGTGTAGAAGAGTGGCACTTATTTAGATAAGAAGAGAGAGAAAGATGGAAATTCAGGCAGAGGTCACAGTACTGAATATGATCATATGTGAGGAATCTAAAGAATGGTTATTAATCTGAGTAAATTGCAACATAGAGTATATAATAAAGTGAAAATAATTTTAAGAATATATTATATAGAGCTAAAGAGTTTGGACTTCATAAATTATAAGGAACTATTAAGGTTTTTTTTTTTTTATTATTTTTGAACAGGTGATTGATATAATTAGAACAGAATGCCAAGAAGCTTAATGGGGCAAGGGTGCACGATTTTTAAAATAGTAGACACTGGGGACAATGAAAATAATCATTGAGGACACTATTGAAAGGGTCAGAAAAGAGATAATAAAGGCCCAGTTTGAAAAGTGGAAGAGAAAAGAAGATTTGGAGGCCAGCAGTAATGACAATGTGATAGATAAGCATTTTCAACCATTTGGAGAAGAGACTTGAGGACAAAAATGAGTGGAAAATGACTGAGCTTTGGAGCCTAAGTGAATGAGAATATGTTTTTAATAGAAATTGGAAACAGGATGGGGAAAAGGTCCAGAGTGTAGTAACTCTGGTGTTGGTGATATGCCAAGTTGTGGTGCAGAAAAAGGAAGAAATGCAGGACTGAAATAGAGCAAAGAAGTGGGCACTGGGGGCCGGCCCGGTGGCGCACTGGATAAGTGCGCCGCTTGGGAAGCGCGGCGGCGCTCCCGCCCGAGGGTTCGGATCCCACATACAGACCGGTTCCCGCTCACTGGCTGAGCGAGGCGCGGGAGCAACGCCGAGTGTTGCGATCCCGTTGCCGGTCCCCGGTCCGGTACGGGGGCAACACTGAGGGTTGCGATCTGTTGCCGGACACGGAAAAAGACAAAAGACAAAAAAAAAAAAAAAAGAAGTGGGGACTGGAGTGAGAGTTTCAAGAGTCATGATCTGCAGAGTCCCTAAGTCTAAATGAAATGCCCAAGGCATCCTACTTGGCACTTAGAGAGAGAAAAAGACCACAGGTAGATATATAGAAATGATCTCAGCTTAGAAAGAAGAAAAATGGGGGGATAGCATGATTCGAATATTTGGTTAGTGATTACAATTTATTTCTATGATTACATCCTTTATCTGCTTGAACTTAAAAAAAACCTAAAAAAGTGGTGATGGATTATTTTGTTCTTTTACATTTTCTTCCATGTAGGTTATTGCTTTTTGTGATTAGCTTTTCCCCTCAACTTTTGGAACATTTATTCTATGAGTTATATCAAAAAAGTTACTCTTGGGGACTGTCTCCCAATATGTACTTCCTCTCACCAGGACAACCACCACAAGATCCTCTGACCCAGTTACTGGTCATCAATAAGACAGGTGAGTATGGGGATAAAACGCAACTTGTAAGTACTGTTCTTGTAGAGAGACTCCCTAGAAAACGTAAAAGAGGAAGAAAAAAGCTGAATTTTTTAGAAAACATTCATGAGGTCAAACAGAAAATTAATTACAAAATTAGAAATATAAGATTGGAGAGTTTGTTTTAGACACACATTTTGGAAGTTCACTTAAACCCTTACACTATTGCACAAAGCAACCAAAGAAGATTTAGGAAGGTAAATTATTGACTCACCTTTGAGGTTTTTCATGTCATTTGTAAGCCTATGCATTCCTGGGCTCTGGAAAAAAATCTGTTCCAAATTTATAAGAAAATAGAAGATTAATAGCTTCAAGTATTAGAGTGTTAGCATTTGTTAGTATTTTTATACTAATGGAAGTTATAGGTAAATGACTAGGGTCTAGGCAAAGTAACCTTATCATACCCATGATATCAGAATGGATTTTAGTACTTTAACACCAATTCTGCCTTTTGAAAGAAATCATTAGATAGTCCTTATTATGGCATGCTTTGGCTAATATCATTTAGTTTTGTTTTTATATTACTTGACTGCTATTTTATTTCATTTTTGCTTCCTTTGATCTTCACCTTTATGGCAGGGTCAAACATTGATAATTTTATACATTCACTGAGGAAACAGAACATAGCTTTGGAAGTGGACGACTTCGGAACTAGAAATGGCATGGACGAGCCATTATACAATGGTGCTATCACTGTGTCAGGTGATGAAAAGGTACGTTAGACTCTGATTCCTGCATTTCATCAAAGATGGACTACCGATGTACAACTTGAATAATTCACATCAACTGACACCAAAGGCCAATTTGACGCAAACCAGTGGGATATTTCTCATTTTTACAGGAGAACCTGGGCTACAATTATTTATCTGCAGCCTCCAGTATAGGAATACCTAATGAAATGCTGTTTGACTTCATTCCTTATTAAGTTGTGTGCAACTGCTATGACTTTTTATTAAAATCCTGTTTTCAATTGGATTTTATCCCAGTAATTAACTTAAATCTTATTCTCAGTTGGAACTCAGAACAACTGCCCAGTGTAGACTTTTTAGTATGCTATGTCTCCACACTCCTTCATTCATTATGTTGCCTGCCTAGACCCTGTAGGAGTTTGAATCAGTAGACACATGGAAAAAGATGAGATGATCATGTTAAATGTATAAATTACAGGGCCGGCCCGGTGGCACACTGGATAGTGCGCCGCTTGGGAAGTGTGGCGGCGCTCCCGCCCGAGGGTTCGGTTCCCGCTCACTGGCTGAGCGAGGCGCGGGAAGCAACACCGAGGGTTGCAATCCCGTTGCCGGTCCCCGGTCCGGTACGGGGGCAACACTGAGGGTTGCGATCCGTTGCCGGACACGGAAAAAGACAAAAGACAAAAAAAAAAAAAAAAGAAAATGTATAAATTACAGCTGTTAGGTGTCATAAAGCTTGACCATTTGTAGCTCGCCAGAGTTAATTTTTAGGAATATTTTCCACGCCAACAATGAAGTAACCAATTACTTTCTATCAAACTAGTCCTTAATATGTATTAATCAAGTTAGTTTCCAGTGTGCTTTTAAGAACAGTTTTTAAAAATGGCAACCTTAACATCAGTAAACAATGCTTTAGTTGGTTAGGTTATATAAAATACACTTGATTTATTTATGATTGCAAAAATGCATTCTCAAGGCTTGCCCACATTTTAGGCAAAACAAACAATTAATTTACTTATATTCTTTTTATTTAAGAGATAAATAATCATGTTACATATATATATGTATATTATATGCCACTTAAAAAGAGATTTTACATGTAAGCTCAGTATTTGTGCAAACCTGTACTTTATTACAGCTGCTTGCCTGCCTCCTGCTTCCCAGTTATCCACACGTTCTTTACTTATAAAATGACCGTATCACATTTTGAAACAAAATCATTGGCTAGCTTAAAGTGAGGTTACATTCATTATAGAATTTCATAGTGTTGCTGCTAAAAATCATTTGAGATATTTTGATGTTGTGGTGGGTCAAAAACAAAATACTGGATTTTTTAATGTATATTGGGAATTAATCAAATAATGTGGGTGATGGTTATAGTGATCACATTTAGTGCTTTTGTTATGTTTTCAATACTTTGAATGATTTTCTACCACACTCATTCATTAAAGTTTATATTTGCTTTCTGAAGACTTAGAATCCATATTCGTTATATTTTAGGATCACAGATTTTCAGTAGCATGTAATACCAAAAGGCTGAACTGCTTTCCTGTTCTCATGGATATCATTAGCAATGGGCTACTTGGAATTTTTAATTCCACAGAACACATTCAAACTGATAGAAGCACATTTTTTGAAGTAAGTATAATATTATCTCATTTATATGGACTCATCAGAACTTTTTAAGAAAATCTTTGAAAGGCTAAAATGACATATTAATTTTATGAACCTATTCTTAAATAGGTTTAGATTATGTTTTATATATATATAAATCATTATATATATATTAACACATACACACTATTTAGCAATGATTACACAACAGTAAACCTTATTTGGATAACTTAGGGTCCATGGAGCTACAGAAAATATAATTCATTGGGAAAAAGAAATCATGACTTTTGTTCCTAGATCTGTTACCACCTGCAACCCTAGGTAGTGAGACACAGTTAAAGCAACCAGTCTTGAAGGCCAGACTATATGGTCTTCATAAACAACTTGACTTCGATAGGCCTTGGTATACCAATCCACAAAAAATATGGATAGAAAGTTCATCATCAAATTTCTTAAGAAGTAAATGACGCAATGTGAGTGCCAGGCTGAGCTGGCCACGTTATTGTAAGAATGAGTGATGAGGCACATAAACGTAGAAAACTATAAGTGTGCAGTAAATTGTACTTCTCGCTATTATTGCTGCTAACATTATTTGGGGGAGCAGTGCATCGAAAGAAGTTTCCATTAAAGAACGTTTGGCTATGACTAGATCAGAGGACGGGCTAAATTAAAACTAGGAGCAATTCTTGTTTAAAATGTGATTTCCCAAGCCTGCTCAGATCCTCTGAGTCAGAATATTCAGGTGGAGAGGGGAATATGCAAATCTATGTCTTCAAGTTGCCACTTCCATCTTGCTATGTTGAATTTCCCTTTGCCTACTTTAAATGACACCTTTCTTCCTCTTCCAGGCATATGCATCTTTATTCAGGCAGTTTTTATATGCTGTAAGATCTCAGTTTTAGGAGGGAGTAAGAGAAGAGAGAAGAAAGGAGACCTCAAAACTCGTGATACCAGATGACTTGCAGTGTTGTGCAGTGAGGCAGCTAATCAAAGGTTAAATCAAGTCTCGTAGCAAAACCCAGGATTCTCTTTTACATGCACAGGATTTTGACTTTTATTTTTTAATTAAATGCCTTTATGTGGAATGTGTGCTATTTTTCTCCAAGCCCCATCACTCTTATTTTCTAACATCCACCTGCTCATTAATTTATAACTGCCAGATTCCCGAAGGCATTTAAATTTGCTACTTCTGCATTATGGTGAGGCAGGGAAATGACTGTTCATGAATGTTGAACTGACCACCAATTTCTGAGAGTAGCAAAATAGCCCCTTCGTTGCCGGTCCACAATCTCTATTGTCTATTAAAATATCAGCATTGGTGTATATAACCAGTGTATGTAATGTTCTAATCATAATGTCAGAAAGCAGAAGCTTCATGCCTACTTCACAAGTTATAAACTGTGGAATCTTATCCAATTCGTATCACTTGATTGAGTTTGCTTCTCCAGAAGTAGATCAGGATACATGTTCGTAAGGTCCAAGTTCCTGAGACACAGGATTGGAAATGAATGTGACTAAGACATTGCAAGTAAGACCTTTGGAAGTGCTTTGGATGGTTAGACCAATTCATTTATTTGAATGATTTAATTAAGAAAGTACAAAAGAACCAGATTCCCAATTTCCATCAGCTTACCATGTCCTGCATGATTTCAGGAGCACATGTCTTATGAGCATGGGTACCTGAGTAATGCCTTCTGGATACCAGTGGCCGCCTGCTTTACTCCTTACATTTCGATGAGCAGCATTGAAGACTACAGAGTAAGAAGAGCTAATAAAGTCTATATATGTTTTTAATTGAGAACTCATCCCCATCCCCCGTGACCATAAACTTACATGCAGACGGTGTATCACATTTGTGTGGTTGATGCAATGAATAATCAAGCATTTCAATAATAATCTGCCAAATAGGAAGAGAGTGCTATTTTTCTTAAATAAATGTGAGACCACAGGAAGGACAGCTTAGGAGAGATGTCCTCACTAGCAGGAAATGGTGACTTTTTACTGCTATATCACTAAGAGTTTTACTTATAGACACTTACCTACTGATCTAATCATATCCTCTCTTAATGATGGTTTCTACTTTCTAGATAATGGTAAAACTACTCAGCTAAACAACCTTGACCAACTCACCACTTTGACACTGTTAAAAGATTGTCCGTTTAAAGCTTCATTTTGTGATGCTTTTATATAACCCGCTCACTGGCTGAGCGAGGCGCGGGGGCAACACCAGGGTTGCGATCCCGTTGCCGGTCCCCGGTCCCGTGCGGGGGTGACACTGAGGGTTGCGAACCGTTGCCGGACACGGAAAAAGACAAAAAAAAA